CTACTACTACTACTACTACTACTACTACTACTACTACTACTACTACTACTACTACTACTACTACTACTACCTACTACTACTACTCCTACTACCTACTACTACTACTACTACTACTACCTACTACTACCTACTACTACTACCTACTACTACTACTACCTACTACTACTACCTACTACTACTACCTACTACTACTACCCACTACTACTACCCACTACTACTACCTACTACTACTACTACTACCTACTACTACTACTACCACCTACTACTACTACCTACTACTACTACCTACTACTACTACCTACTACTACTACCTACTACTACTTCTACTACTACTACTACTCCTACTCCTACTACTACTACTACTACTACTACTCCTGCTGCTGCTGCGACTACCACTACCACTACCACTACCACTACCACTACCACTACCACTACCACTACGACTACTACTACTACTACTACTACGACTACGACCACTACGACTACGACCACTACGACCACTACGACCACTACGACCACGACGACGACGACGACGACGACTACTACTACTACTACTGGAGGGGATCCACAAGTTGACTACAAAAGAATCCAACTCCTACCACTTGGGATTGTCTTGGAACTACTTGTGGGTTTAAGAAAGTGCTTGAGGCCGCCGCAGCCCAATGTCCAAAACCAACAAAGTGGAAAAACCAGCTCAGGAAAATGACCCTCTCTAGTGAAAGGCGTCTATGGTCCAAGTTCCATTGCATCATCAATACCAAAGAGGTAGAGAGAGGGATCCAACCTCAAGCGAGCAAGCGTTTCTTCGTTAAATAATGAAACGGCTCGCTCCAAATATTGAACGGTACATAGAGAAACCTCACAGCTCACCGTGACGAGGCCGAGAACTCGTCGCCTTCACTTCACGAGCGCTCACCGCATCTCACCCGAGCATCTCAGCATGCCCCCGCCCCTCCCCACCTCACCGATGTAGGACCTTGCCACCCAACCTGTGCCGGAAGCGAGGTCGACCGGCCGACCGCGACCGCGACCGACCACCGCACTAGTGCGCCTCCAATGGAATGTCCCAAAAAGGCCACGGGCTCCTGGCAGAGAACAAGCTTCCTTGGCAGAGAACCACCGCTGTAATCCCCAAAAAGGAACGACCTTCCTTTGGCGCAGGAAGACTTGAGGATGTGCACCTCGACCCGAGTTCCAAGCTCGGAGCGGGTTCGATCCAACCCGTCGGTTGCTGGAACTCCAAACCATTTGGAAGCGTGGATTCAGCCTCCGTCAGAATGCCCCCCCCTTTCAAACGAAAAACGACCTCGAAGGCAACCAGCTGCCGAAGGCACTCCCCATTCGTTGCGTCGCTGGGTTTGGTCCTCTGGGCCGTAGTCTTGCTCCACCTCTCGCATGGCCTGGAACCAAGGGCCATTTCGATGTCTCCATGCATGGTCTCCAGCACTCTTCAGAGTGCGAAACATCCTACGCACCACGGATGCATCGCCCGATGATGTCTCAGTCTCGGTGGAATCTCCACTCAAAAAAGGAAGTGCCCCACCACTCTGTCTCACACCGTGACCCTGAAGGAGGGCCTGGTCTAGGGCTTCATAAAAGAAGCCTAAGGTCTTCCTGGGCCGCAGCTCTGCTGTGAAGAACTCCTGGAGAGTGAGTAGCAAGTGCTACCGCTACCAGGATGAGGATGTCCGAACTGATTCTCCGATATCCAGTGATATCCTGGTGCTTCATCGTTTCAGGACGAAGTTAGATGATGCGTCCATGAGTTCTCAGTCTGGGTCCAAAGCAGTCCAAGTCGAGCTCCCTTGCATCGAACCCAGCTCTCGTTCGGGACTCCTTCGTGAAGGTGCTCGGAACAATTCGCAGCCAGTCCAACCTGGACAAGGGCGCTGCATAGAGTGCGAAGCCTTGGCTGCGTCCAAAAGCACAAGAGATATGTTGTCACGATAAGCTATTCACCTGCTGGTACTTGTAGAAGCTCCAAGATGAAAGAATTGTAAGGAGTGACATGAGTACAGTATAGGGTTTGAGAGACCGTGTGGCGTTGGAAAGACCCTTTCTACTCCAAGTTCTTCCTCCTTCACCCAGAACTGGTGAGCTGCACAGGACTGTCACACTGACATGCACAAAATACCGCCGAGGCCCCGTGTACCCCTCCGTTTTTGCAGCGCCAGAAGCCTCGCTCCTCCAAGTTCACCTTCAGCTCTTCGTAGTCCTCCGCCGCACGCGTTTTGTGGAAGCAAGAAAGCGGCGCAAGGGAGGCACGAGAGCTCGGATTGAAGCAACCTAAAGAAACACAGAAACTGCTAGAGGTGCTTAGGAAAAGAAGTCTGCAGGATGTTAGATACAGGTACTGAGGATCACCAGCCACAAGTCAAGTCTCAGTTGCCTGTAATACGTTCTTGGGGGATGGATGCACTTCACTTGGGATGTGACTGCCGAGTATTTTTTGGGAGTGGAGGCCATCCACATCTTCCAGGAATGGAAGAATGACTTATATACAGTCAGAGTGATACAAGAGTCGCATCATCCCAAGTCCATGCCAGCCGCAATGATCGAAAGCCAGGTGGGCGCGTCCAACCTGGAAAGCAACCAACAAACCATTCAACTGAGCACAAGCCACCCAACTAAAGAACAAACCAACCAGTGAATCAAAAACAAACAACTACACTCCAACTGACTCATGTGGCACCACCACTCACCACCCAAAAAGGATTTATCTGTTCAGATCCTCTTTGCTCCTGCCCATCCCGCCAGGACCACCGGAAATGGTCCCCGCCGGTCGCACGTCGCGCTCCGCACTCCTCCCGCGTCCCGAACTGCGCGGGGCAAAGCACCACGGGAGTGAGTTTCCGGAGCACCAGGTCCTGCGGTGTTTTCACCGGTCCGGGCGGTGTGGATCACATCTGGGGTCTGGGGCGTGAGGATTCTGTGAGATTCTCTCCTTCATTTCTGTGGCACGAAACCTTAAACAGACCACGGAAAAAGCTGTTTCCCAATTAGATGCCTTGTGTATTGACCATTAAACATTAAAGATTCGTGCCTTTCCCTGAAAACCACTGGTGCACAGTGACGGGCCGTGACGGGTCATCTTGGCTCGAAACGCCGCTTCTGCGCCAGGAGACTGACCGGTTGACCTACCTTCCTCAGGTCGTAAACCTACATGGTGGACTGGTCGACCTCCAGGGTTTCATCCCCAATTCACACGGGGCAATCCGGCAAACTACACCTAAATCTTCTCTCGGATTTCTGACTGCCCCTCAGTCGCTCGCTCGCGCGCGGACGCGCCTGTGCCGCGTGCCGGGGCGCGCGACCGCGACGCGGCAGCGCACGCTCCTGCCGGGGGCTCGGGAGCTCCAACCCCGAGACTGACAGACCCTCAATCAGCTCGGAGACGGAGTGGTGCCGAGCCAAGCCACGTTGCAACTCAACCGCAAGTAGCAACTGAATTGATTGGGACCTTTTCCAACAAAGGGTGAGCGCTCCTTTGAGGCATCAGCCCTGTCCTGTCCCCCGCCCGATATCCAAGCGGCATCGACCAGAAGACATCATAAAGGGAGACAACCAGAACATCAAGTTGAAAACAAACACAACATCAAAACACTTTAGTAACGCCAACTTGAACTGATTTTGATAGCAAGCTGTGAATGAGAGGACGTGAAGCCACATGAACACAAACGCGCATGTGTAAGCCACGCACGGTGATGCACGGACGAAGCCGTGCCATTGCCCATCCGCAGAAACACAAAAGCAATGGAGCACCAGCTTGTTTTATTCAAGAGCATCAAGTGATATGCACGTTTGCTTAAAAAGGGCATGGGTAGTTTCTGATATGCACCCCGCAGCAGAAAAGCTCGGTGCATTTTCACATTACACGGAGCTCTAGAAAAGCTCGGGGCTGCACAAGTGGAATTCAAAGGTGTCAAGCTCTCGGGAGCCACTCGCCTCCCCTTTTTGGTCCTTCTTCCGATGCAACGCAGCATCCCATTTTCTGCCAAATCCACCAAACATCATGGTGAGAAACCAGCCGTCGACACCGACCCGCTCCCTTTCTGATTGCTCATTTCGCTGAGTTCAGGCACAAAGGATTCACGTGAAAACCCCTCCCCTCCTGACCAACGAAGCCAATGCTTCGCAGTGCGAAGAGCGTCAACAGAAGTCCAAGCCCTGCCAAAACAGAAAAACGCTCGGCTTGGGGGAAAAAGTGGGAGCAACGTCTCGTCGATCGGCTCAAAGACCCCCTCTCCAGAAGTCCAGTGGAGACGGTGTCGCCCCACCCTTTCTTTGTTCGGAGACGAAAGACCACCCATCGGCGTTCACCGCACACCGGTACCGTTTTCTCGGCATCGCACCGACCTCTCGGTGCAGATCTCGCCATCGTCGCTGCGGGAAACAGGGGCGTTCTGTCTGCGTGTCTGTCACGTGCGTGGCGGTTCTTCTCTGGAGTCGAAGACGTCGCGTGTTTCAGAGCCTGTTAGGGAGTCATGGGTCAAAAACCGTTGCGAACAGTGGCAAGGCATTGAGGTTTCAAGATTTGTCCAATCGAACTTCATGACGCTTTGGATCGTCGGGTCATGTGAAAGGCTCCATGTGTCCAAATCGCAAGCTGACCTCAACTAAACCGAAAGGCTGGACCTAGGCACTGCCGAAGCACCAAAACCCCTCCTACCAACGACTATATCAGTGGTTGTCTTGGGGAGTTGGAAAAACAAACACTTAGACGACCTGAATTGAAGCTGAAACGGCTCCGGTTTTTTGGACGCCCGATTGAATTCCAAGAAATCCAAACAGTGCCCTTGTCAGTGACGCGGTCTTTCACTCTCTGTTACTCCTCAGGCCTAGATCCAGATCTGGCTCCACTTCCCCGAGAACTAACGAAGATAGCTAACCTAGCTGGATCTAGCTCCCAGCTAGACTTGCAATCAACTCTCTGATACCACGAACATGACCCCGCCAAGTTACCTGGAAGGAACATGAAATAACCAGGTAGGCTTGAGAAATCTCACCATCTGCTTGCCTACCTTCAAGCTCAAGGCTAAACTTCCCGATTGCATTCGCCAAGGCCCTAAAGAAAGGGAGCACAGTTTCAACCAGAAGGGCGTTTCAACCTGAAGGGCCTTGAATATTTTGCTTCACATCAGCTGTGCTCCAGGCAGAAAATGAGAAGGGGCCAACAGACACAGTCAAAGACGTACTGTGGACCTTGGTGGAGTGCAGATCACACTGCAGGTCTTGCAGGTGGCGAGTGGGTCGGGTTGGATTGTCCCCGGTGTCCATCGTGGAAAACCTCTTCCAGCATTGAAACAATATCTATATTCTCTGCATGTTGCTGACTTACCTCGCTTACTTCAAGGTTGATCAAACCCATGCTTTCTGTGTTCATCAGCACAACTTCCTCGCGTCATCGCTCGGTACCCGCATCGCACCAAGCCACGCCAGGCATCGAGGCTTCGGGACTTGCGCATCAGCGCCTCGCCCTCGAGTCAGAGGGTCGAAGTTAGTCTTTCCCGCCGAGGGGAGTGGACTCGCAACGGGAGTGGAAACCACACAGCGAGTTTCGGCCTGGACTTGCTGTTGTGGTCATAGCATATGAGTCATTGGTGGTAGGTTAGTTTCCACCAATTCCATCTGTTTACAAGTGTCATTTCCGGGAGAAGGAAGAACAGCCAAGCCAGACTGTGTGCGATGATGTGCAGTCTTGGCGTTGTGCAGCTTCTGTTCAACCCAGGCAAAGAATCAACATGACACCAAAACTGCATTCTTCAACCCAAGAAATACCCATAAATCTTCTGCGAATCAAGCAATGGGCCCTGACAACCTCACCCTCGACAGAGGAAGAAGAAGACCTTGACACCCTACCACATGGCCCATGAATCCCGTACGCAGGTATAGGGAACCCATGCCCAAGTATATAATTGAAACAACAGCTGACTTCTCAATGGGGAAAACTTGTTCCCCAAAAGAGATCATTTCTATGCATTGCAGTCCATGGAGCGCCATCCGGTAGGTGTCCCAAGCCTCCCATCTGGCACGTTCCCAGTCGCCGGCCTCAGGAAGCTCAACACACCAGGAAAATATCTACAAATGTCTTCTGCAAATGCAAAAATGTCTTCTGCAAGTGTCTTCAACTGCTACTGGTAGGGACCAAAGGAGCTGAATACTGCTAAAGCCCCACAGAGATATCTTCCAGCTAAGTTCTTTGGCGGCCTTCCTTTCTTCTCCAAAGCTCCTTCCTTTCGCCGGCTTCGGCCATGGTCGCTGTCGCTGACCCCCTTGGCCCACGTGAAGCATCCGCACTTTGGCGAAGAGGATGTTCCTCCCAGAAAAATGTCTTGAGGAAGGGAAACATCCAAGACATTTTAGGCTCACGTCCACGTCCATTTTAGGCACAGCGATGGTGCTTTGTATGTCGCTGTATTCTGAAAGAATCCAACCAGCAATCCACCTTCAACTGGTGCATCACCAGGAGGTGTACAGCAACAAACACCAGGAGGTTTCCAGCACGAGTTTGTGTGCTTAGCACGTGTTCTCCAGGGTCAGAAGATTGATCGTGCAGCCTGGCTGGAGCAGGGTCAAGAAGCAGGGAAGGAATCGATCTGATGGGATGATCGGAGCGAAGTTGAACAAAAGCTTTCAACGCTGGCCAGAGTAAATGAAGCAAGGCCTCGGGGCATGTCTGGCACGTCTGGTGCCCACCAGCTGTGCTCAGTGTCCTTTGAACAGTAGAAGTATTTTGCTTTGTGCTCATGTCCTCATACTCCCCAGGGGGCCCAGGGGCTCTTTTCTTAAAGCCACCGGTATGTGGGTGTTTTTCTTGCGGTGGAATCTTCGGAATAATAGTAGCAAGAAGCAACTAGCAACAAGGGCATTACTATTAGTAGCAAGGACGCTACTAGTGGCTCCTGGCATTACTACTAGGAACAAAAAGCTACGAGGTGAAGGCCATCGCTACTAGTAACAAGGGCGTCGCTACTAGTAACAAGGCCATTACTACTAGTAGCAAGAAGCTACTAGTAACAAGAAAATGACTCCCAGAAAACGCCTCGCCTCGCTGTGGGCCACGCACTTCAGAGGCCTCGCCTGTCGCCACGCGCGCCACGACCGTGCCTCGCACTTGGTCTGGTGCCTTTTGGGCGTCCTGCGCCAAGCAGTACTCAAGCTCACTGTACCTGGCCGAAAGCAGTTTGAGCACCGTCTTTTTTCGGAAAGTCCGAGGCGGAATTGTCCGAGGCTCCAAACATGCAGGGCGTGCGAACAACACATGTGCTTTGCGGGGGCCCATGTTGGTGAAACGAGAAACTCTCACCACACGAACAGTGGCAAGAAGCTGTTCCTGTGGACTATGGGATTGGACTGAACATTCACAACTCACGGTCGTCCCACCATGTCCCGACACCATGACCTCTGATGGGTAGCTTGAGGGGCCATGTCCCAACTGGGGCACCACCTTCCAGATATTTCCTGATAGAAAAGGTCTCCAACCTAATAGCGATGGCCTCCAACCTAGGTGGCCCACCTTCCAGAGTTTCTCTTGGAAATTCATCCAAGCAGCTTGTTGATGGCGTCATCGTCCATGCCAGCATTGATGCATTCATTGTCAGGGCCGATGACACACTTCAGCCTGCACTCCTTCTCTGCGTTCGCACTGAAGCTCCTTGTTCCGTGCTTTGTGTGTGTGGCCTATGTTTGTTGAGTTATTCATTACCAGAATCCAACCATCGACCATGGAAGAATACATTTTTGGATCAACGAAGAGACTCTTCCAAAGAGACATGTTCTACAAGTTCTATGTCCTCATGCCTCATGCTTTCGGAAATTCACGTTTCTGGAATTGTTCAAGTTCAAAACATAATTTTTGTGAGCAATCGCTGCCATGGTTTGCCAAGGCGCCGATCGGCCTGCAGGTGGATCTTCCCACCGTTGGCCTGAGGATTTGGGACCACGCTGGAGTCAAACCAGAAGTTGGGCACCTTCACCTGGATCCAACAGGGACGGAGCGAGCGAGCGAGCGGACAGAGAGAGAGAGAGAGAGAGACACAGAGACAGAGACAGAGACAGAGACAGACACATGGAAACCGTTTGTTGGAAAGCCCTTTTGGACTGGGAGATGTTGATCATTTCATGAGCTGAGAAACCAAGGACACATGGCTTGGAATTCTGAGGATCGCAACTGACTGATGCTCCAAAATCAACATGCACAAATGTTCAGGAATAAAGACTAGACACGGTGGTGCATGCAAAAGCACAGTTCAATCTTTTAGCGATTCTGGCTCTGGTAGAGATAAAATGAACAAAGAGGCCATCTTGATAAGCTTTCAATCTGAGGAGAGATGAAGTGAACTCAACCTCAAAAACTGTTTCAAATTAGCCCATGGCCTATCTGGCCTTTATGGCCTATGATGAACTGTTGAGGCTTTGGCCACTAAGCTTCTCTTGGGTGTGTCATGAGACTGGTGGGTTCATCATGCAAAAACAATTGATCAACTGTATGTACTTTGTTGCAAGCGATGTAGCCCAAGTCCTTGACGATTTTTTTGGAGAAAGGACCTGTGCGAGTCCAGAACTAAAATGGTACGGTTCCTCCACAGGTATCACCATCTGGACTCCATCGAGCTGGATTTGCTAAGCTTTGAAAGCATCCACGCACGCGCGAGCTGATCTTGGTCTCACCCCACCCGTGGGGAACATCGACAAAGCGGCTCGAACTCCAGACTGAGACCCGGCGCTGTCAGTCAGCTGATCACCCACACTCATCACCTAGGCGTGAGACCAGGTGAAACATCATGATGAATGCCATGCATCCGATGAATGTTGACGTGGGAGTGTTCCTGCGAGCTAAAGAAGGCGTGCAATCTGTGCGAAGGACGAGGAACAAAATATGAAACACTCACAGCATAACACCGCTGATCCTGTTGGACGCTTGTTCAACCCTCGATCGATATGGTTGACTCCCCTGGTAGCACCACAGCCTTTTCTACCGGCCCTATCTGATAAAGGTGAGAGGCCTAGAAACAGGAAATGCCTCTTCACGAGGTTCTCTTCACGAGCCCTACTTATGACCAAAAATTCAAGGCTTCGCTCCACCACAGCTTTTGGCCAAAATGGCAAAGGCGTGAAGACGCTGGCTTCACGAACGGAAAATAGAAGCCGAGAGGTTGAACAGTTATGCAGAGAGTGACCCACATATGGTTGACTCTGGTAGCAGCACAGCTTTTTCTACCGAATATGGCCACAGGCATGGGGTCGTAGCCCCCGGTTGACTTACTGTGCTTGAAAAAAGGTGAGAGAGGGGTGAACACCCAAAGGTCTCAAAGCAGGGAACGCCTCTTCACGAGGTTCTCTTCACAGCGCGCGTGGAGATTCGCTGACCTGGTCAGGTCCTTCGACTCTGGCACCATGGTCTCGGCGCCATTTCGCATTCCTGATCAAAGTAGGGCCCGAAACCATGAAGAAGGCACTGAGGCAGTGTTTGCAGCAATGTCGAGACGATCGCTCTCAGGCCAAAAGCGCATCTCCAAGCGATTAGCATCTGCTCCGAAGGCGTCTGGCGAACTGGTAGCTGTGAACAAGCGCCACCACCATGCCTCCCTCTGAGCAAGCATAGAGGCGTCCTCCCACTTCCCATGAAACAGTATCAGCCCACGTGGGGCTGCCTTGCGTCATGGGAGGCCAGCGAAAAGGCTGAAATGCCCAGTGGCTCAACACAGATCCAGTTGCAGCATCCCAGCGAGCGCAGGGTGTGCTGGCGTAGCACGTGGCTGAGCCACAAATGACTACCTTGACACTGCCGAGCGTGCGGAGGAGGAAGAGGCTAAAGTGATAACCTGTAGAAGGTGACTTCACCAACATCCGATCGGACTTGACATTGAGGTACATCAGGGCATTTGTGAGCACTTCGTCCAGGGGCCAGTTCTGGAAGGAACTCTGGATCCTCATGTCCTGTTGGGTAGGATCAGGATGGAGCGCTTGCGTTTGCCCGAACCAGTCTGCATAAGTGCTCTGGCAATGCAGTGTTGAGCGGGTTGTGCCTCAGATCTGCAGGCGTCATGTTGCCCCAGCGAGGCTCCGTGACCGTGTCTTGCTGCTTGCTCTTGCTGTCGTCTCAGCTTCCTTGAGGAAGCTCTGAGCAGCTTGGAGAAGAGGAGCTGCCGATTGGCTTGACGATGGACCAGCAGGACGAGCTGGTGGTGGAACCACTCACGGCGGGGCATCATCCTGAGCTGATGAGCTTGCTTCAACTGAGGGATGCCCTTCTTCTTGCAGGGTCCAGTGATGAGGCAAGCCATGGATCTTGAGCATCATCGTCCACCTGCGTCCACGAACTGTTGGATGAGGTCTCATCCATTCGCCCAGAGGCATTGAACACTTCCCTCCTCAAGGGAGCCGGTGAGGTGGCTTAGCCTTTGGTTGCCCAAAACTGTCTCACCACCATTCCAAGCCATTGCCCAAGCCCTACCTGAAAAGCTTATTTGACCTGGCCACAGTTTTACGCCAAAATAGCAAAGGCGTGAAGACTCTGGTTTCACGAACTGAAGACAAAAAACCGAGAGGTTGAACAGTTATGTAGAGAGTGACCCACATGTCTCTACCAACCAGCCCACAACACATGACCGATGGATCAAGGACCGAATCCCGTTGGTGCCCTCGATCTTCCTAGTGCCTCTGTTTTTAGGCATTTCATGCAAACGATTGTTTGCATGTAAAAAAAAGGATGCATTGCAATGGTTTCCAATTCGAAGTCATGGTTTTGAAACAGCAACTGTTCCCGACCGAACGGCGACTTTTCCTGACCCAACGGCGGCTTTGGCCGACCGCTAATTGTGTAACCTCTGCAAAAACAGTACAGCGGCACTTTTGAAATGAAACGGTGTTTTCAGGAGAAAAAACAAAGCAGCAACCGTGGAAGGTCCAGGTAGTTGATCGCTGTTAAGGTAAGAACGTTCACCTGGTTTCCACATGTCATGTGTGTATAATCTGTGACACCGTTTTGTTTGTCTGCACCATGACCCAGTTCACAGCTAGCTTGGTGGTTCAAACACCCCAGTGCCACCCCGAACGACAAGCAGGCTGACACACTAAAGTGACCCCAAATCGATACGTTGAATAACTTTATCCCTATACAGTAAATGTACTAGAAACTCTTGCCAACCGCATGAGTGACTGGGTCGATTGACGAAAAACTCCCATTCGTCCAAAGACCCAGTAGATGTTGCGCTGCGCATGAAGCCAGTTCCTCAGGACCGACTTGTACGCCACAGAGCAGCCTTGCGATTTGCAGCCTCCAATGCCACCTGTTCGGCACGTGTCAATCGACCCGGCCGAGCCAGTGACAGGTTGCCCTCCGCTGTGTTGCGGCATAGGGAGCCACACCAACCGACTAGTGATGGCCTCCAACTTAGTAGCCATGGCCTCCAGCCTACTAGCAATGGCCCCCGAACCTACTAGCGATGGCCTCCAAGCTACTAGCGATGGCCTCCAACCTACCAGCGATGGCCTCCAAATACTCCTTGGGCGCCTTCCCCTTTCTTTCACTGAACACCCCTTCGCCAGGCATCGACCGCCTTTCATGGTCGAACGGGTCGCCCCGTCTGTCCGAAGGGGTCGCCTTTCCAGCAGCCTGCCACTTCGGTATCATCTCCAGTCTCAAGCGATGGGATGATCTCATACAATCTCAAAATCGAAAGAACCAAAGTAAGGTGGATTCTTGAGAAATAACCCCCCCATGGGAAGGTGACGGTGTATTAATCAAGAGAATCTACATTAGACTGGCTGGAAGACCTTCCCATTTGTTCAGTTCCTGCGGCTCCTGCCTGTGATAAAGACATGTTTTCGCATCCAGTAATCGTCCACTGGGAAGTTCTCTTTGACCCAAAGCTGAGTTGCCTTGGCCTTCAAGGTGGTGCAATAACGAGCCGTGATGAAGAAGCACTCGAACCTACTCAGGGTCACTCTGAGCACTTGGTTCACATGTCAGGTGTGGGGGTGGTAGAGACTTCTTCAGTCTGTTATTCAAAAGAAACGGACATCATCTCTTCTCACTGCTTTCTACCTCGGAAGTCATCAGAAACAACAGTCTGCAACTCCACATATCTCCTTCCCACTTGCAACCTTGCTCAGCCACAAATCCTTATGTTCAATAAAATTTATCGAAGCCCAATGATAATCAGTTGGCCAATACTCCCCATTCCTTCCAGGGCACGGTGCACTCTCCGTCCGCACGCCCCCAAAGTGGCACCAGCGCTTGGCAAAGTCCACCGCGCGCTTCATGGGAGGTGCCTTGCCCAAGAGGTCGGTGTCGTTGAAACCTGCGAGGTGACGAGAGGTCAGGTCTGAACCTCGCCCTGCCGTTCCCCAAGAGACGTGGTGTTCTTTCTCCTGCATCTACACGGTTCAGCTGCTCAGTCTGTTTGATGGTTGGGACATCAGTTTCTCCCAAAGAAGGAGCATGGGCGAGCCAAATGTTTTAATCGCCTCTGTGGGCTTAAATCATCCAACTCTTATTTGTAAGGTTGGTACCAGTACCTGCAGACCCAGGTGAGGGAGGGGAATATATATATATATATAGACCAACAAGGGTTTGGGGTTTTAGGGTTTTTAGGAGGGTTTAGGATGTCTCTGCACTAAAGTTGGGTTTGTGCTGTTGTTCAAATGAATTTGTCATACCCTTATAACTTGTAGCTGTCTATCCACAAATCCGCCATACGAAGCCAAAGTCTCTATGTGCCTAAGCGCAACCTTCACCTCCGTTGAATGGGTCATGTCACCGACACCATTTGACCTCCATCATCACATCACCGCCCTCCGACACGGATGAAACTGCGCTATTTGCACGTACGTCCGGAATTCAGCTTCCGCTCGAAGCCTCTGGGGGCAGGCAACTATGGACCGGATCGTTCTGGGACTGCATGTAGACAAAGGATTCCACCCTCTTGTGCTTAACGGATACCCATTGCACTCAACCACATGAAATCCCTCGCCATCACCTTCGAAAGAAACCACGAAAGAAACCGACGCTTTCGTTGCGGGCTCGGCGCTCGCGTGCCATCAACCCCCCGTCCGCCTGTGTAAGCCAGAGTGTTGTCAATATCAAACATGATGGCAGGCTCTTGACCTTGAAACTCCAATGACTTCACAGTCTCCAGGGTTGCATCTGCAGCATCAAAGGACTTGAAATCAGGTCGGAGGCATAGCGGCTTCCTGGAAAACCGGGATGCCGGGGGCGGTTCAACGGAATCGGTGTCTTCATGGGGGTTCTTCATCGCTCCAGACTGGCAGTTCAACTTCTTGAGACCAAATGCGATGCGAAGTCGTGGAGTCCTAAAAGAATCAAAAGAGGACAGCAGTCCAGACTGAGCTCTTTTGAGGTGCCTCACTCCTGGGTGTCTTTGCAGAAGCCGATTGAGATCCAAGATTCCAAGATGGAAGCAAACAGAGTACATCCACATGTAGTCGACAACCCACTCCAAGTCCAGCTCGCTATTTCAAAGACAAGTCTGGGATGAGTCATTTGCTGCCTCTCCGGTCTCCCAGTCCTGGAGTGTACACGACATAGCTATAGTTGCTAAACTCAATCTCCGGCGCAGACTCAGGGTTGGTGCCCTGTGTCGGAGTGATGGCAGCCACTTGGTTTCGGCAGTGCTGGACGTTGCCTGCTCGAAAGCGGCGAACATCAGCGGCTAACTGACGCGGCGATGTCACCCAAATCGATGGAGGCAAGCCTGAAAAGTATCCATCCCTCCAAAGTTTGAAAAGGAAAAGGAGTCATGCTACCTTTCATCGAGTTGAAATTCTAGATCCATATGGGCCGTTGGGCCCTCAGGAGTCACAGGTTCTTATACTGCCTCGTGAGCCCAGGAATGGCTGCCTGGCATGAAGGTCTTCTCAACCGGCAGGTCTTCGATCAAGGTCGGCTGGCTGCTGAGCTCACTATACCTGAAGTGCAACATCCGAGACTCGATAGAGATTCGAAAGTAGCTCCGGAACCCGGAACCCAGTCCAGAATTTGCTCCAGAACTGGTTCCGAAACCTGCGTGGCTTTGCTTTTTCACGGCCATTTATGCTACTCTTCCAGACGTGAGATCGTTCAAGGAGGCGGATCTTGGATCTAAACATCCCCTTTCATGGGGAGGAACCTCAGACGCTTTGTCTCGGAAATGTAAAAAAAAACACACACCAAGGTTTTCCGTCACGGAATCACGGCCAAGCAGCGCTTAAGGTGGCGAGACACAAGGTCGATAGGTGGCGACGCAAACGAGATTGGTTCCAACTCAGGGGAAAGCGGGTCCCTCGTTCCAGACACAAAGGGAAAGTGTGAATGTCTTCCATGTCCGTTTACACCTTGAAGTCTGTCTCCGGCGTCTTGGCCCTTGTAAATTCTGAATAACCAGGTTGGAGGCCATCGCTAGTAGCTTGCAGGCCATAGCTAGTAGGTT